GAGAGAGAGAGAGAGAGAGAGAGAGAGAGAGAGAGAGAGAGAGAAGGAGCAAACGTAGCGGGAAACAGTGTTCACGAGAAACAAACGAAATGAGACGATGGAAATGAAATGTTTTGTTGTGGCAAAGCCTCTTAACATAAATTCGGGGATATGGCAACTAAGTTTAAAAGGCCCCTTTTTTCTCTTCAGTGTTGTGCATGTTTGTAAAATACATTGTCAATCAATGGAGCCAGCAGCGTAGCAACCGATCCATTGAATCTACCGATAAGAAGAAATAATAAGAATAACTTTTAAGTTGTGAGACTTTCAAAATAAAAAAATATCGGAAAAACGGAAAACATAGCAGTTGAGCAACGCCCAGAGCTAAAATTGAGAGCATCGAACAAAAACGATCGTTTCGTGCTAAAGATTTAAAATTTTAAATGAATTTCCAGTTTTTGGTATTCGAGTGTGTTTGTCTGTCTGTGTGTGTGTGTTTGTCGATTTCGCTGATATATTTACAACGGCTTTATCAGAACACGTGCATGAGGTTGGGCATACATATTCTCAATTTAAAGAGCCGAAAATTCGAAATTGCTTGGCTTGTTTCAACGTTGCCGAAAACCCTAAGATGTCACTTGCTGTTGTTGTTGTTTGCACTGTTGCTGTGCCTGCAATTTTTGTTTTTAAGGCACACACGAAGCAGCAGAGTAAAAAATGCAATCGTTCAATAAATTCCAAGATGAGAATCGCCGACAACGAAAACTGTTGCAATAACACAGTCGAAAATGTATCGGTGGGGCTGAAAGCGAATATATGTTATTAAACAAAACATACGATTCGAGCCATTTAAAAACAATGAGAAAGGAACAACAACAAGATCAGAAAAGAAATGCGCGCGAAATGAGGTACGCTTTGTGTATGTGCATCATATATAGTGAACGAATGAAATTTGTAAACAAGATGCGTGCCATTGTGAGATCAGGAGAAAGAGATACTAACGAAAAAGGTAAAAACAACGATGACGACAATAACACACGAGCAGTTAAAAATAACGCGCGCGCGCACACACGGGAGAAAAGAAAAAAATCACAAGAAAATAAAAAGCAGATTCGTTGCACATGCATTTCAGGCGTCATTTAAAAGTGTACTCGTTTTTTTTCGCTCGTTTCGGTTAATCGGCTGTAATTTTATGATTTGTTGATGTTTTCGTGGAAGAAATACGAAGCGAGAAACATGAAACGATTGATGCTGTAGTAAAGTTCTGACAGCGTTTAAAAACCTTAAAATGAAATCTGAACGCGTCGAATGTATTATGCATGGCGCGTTTCGCCACTATTTTACACATTCGTTGCGTTCTGGGCGTTGGATTCCATTTTATTGATGCATGGGGAATTTGTAAATGTCACAAACGTTGATTTGACAAGTTAAGCAGAGAGCAAGAGCAAGAGCGAGAGAGAGAGAGAGAGAGAGAGAGAGAGAGAGAGAGAGAGTTTGACCGAGCGGGAACCGACAAGAATCCGACTTAAAAGCGAAATAACCCATCAGATTAATTTATACTGGCTGTGGCCAGAATTGGAATACGCTCGTTTCTCATACCTTGAAAAAAGATTAAAATGAGAACAGAAGGAGCGTACGAAATGAGAAAAATACACATCGACAAAAAATGAAACCGGACCGAATCGAGAGAGTCGATGGCCATAATAATCAGTACAGTCAGATGAAATACTCGTCAATAAAATGCTGTTACTGCTCTTCGTATCGCTTTTTATTTTCGTTTCATTATTACCTTTTTCCTCTTCGAAGTTAGTTTCGGTTGTGGCAATCGCCAGTTAAATAACAAACGCATAAAACATTTCTTTGTCTCTTTCTGGAAGTAAGGTGAAAAGGGAATGCAGAGAGGAAAAAACACAACAACAAGAAGAGTTTCATGTGACGGCGCGCGTATCACTTACATTTTAGATGCGTTACATTCACATACGCACAACTTTTTGGCCGTTACCGCCACACACCACACAGTGACAGAGAGATGGAAGCGAAGCAGACGTAAACAAAGCACGTACATGTGTTGGTGTTTGCATCAAGTGATAACTGAAATGGTATACGCACACACATACGCATTGGGTGAACGAAAGAAGAAATAAACAAGACAAGAAGAAGAAAAATAATAAGTTTTACCAGTTTCCCCTTCTTGCCTTTGCACACGGACGGCCCAAAATGAAAGAGAGAACATTTGATGCAACTAAACTAATAAGATTTAATAAATAAAAGTTGTGCTGAATGCAAGCCAACATATGAGTTTCCACGTTTTCCAAATTTTTTTCTCTTTACTTTTCTCGCTCATTTTTTGACGGAAAAAAAATGGTTTCATTAAAAACTCAAAAGAAAATAAAATGAAGAAGGGAACAAAAACAACAACGCATGCTGAAAAGAACATGCATTTACGTTGAAGATACTCGAAGTGCACCGAACACTGATGGCAAGCAACGAAAACAAAGAGTAGAAAAAAAAAGAAGTACAGTCATAACAAAAGACATTCTTACGAGTGTGTTTGAGTGAATTTTTTTGTTCGAAACGTGTGCTGCTGTTGCTGCTACACACACACTGCACATGCATTCCCTCAACAGCCGAAAACGTTGAAAACTCAAGAGTTTGTTGAGTGAACGAGCAAACGCGCGCGCGATATATCCAAGTCACACACACACAGTATGTATGCCATGTGTTCATCATCGAAAGAGAAACGTGGTTTGCGTTTAAGCTTGGATTTTGTTCTCTTGCGCTCAAGCATGAGAACGGCATTTTAGTCGAAAAATCGAAACCGTCACCAATTCTTGCGGTGTTTTCATATATTGAATACCGCCAGAAAAAAAAGCAACACCATTTCTTATTGGAATTTATCGATAAGCTTGAATCATACTGATCAGCACAACCGTTTTTATTATTTTTTTTCTTTGCTCCTCTTTGTTTTCCTCTCAGTCACTGGCGTGCGCGTCCTAAACAACAACAAAAATCACACACATTTAACCGAATTCATGGAAAATTTCATTTTTATTGCAACCTAATCCATTGAACAGAGCAAATGTATAGCTGATTGGTTTTGCTAACGCCAGAACGTCACGTATTTTGATTCTGAATCATAATTTTATTGCTTATTTGTTCGGTGCTATTTTTGGTCGGTGGCTGCCGGTTTTTTTTTTGCATTCATACTGTTTTTTTTTTACTTCGATTAGCTTTGTTTTTTTGCGCGTTGCCGAAATATGAACGACTGTAAATAAAACAGAGAGAGAGAGAGAGAGACGCAAAAATACGTTACTGGTTGAACGTAAATCGCAAATCTTGCATTTAAACGGGCGTACCCACGAGTAATGGAGAATAATTTACGATGTGCAAATGTGGTGACAACCAAAATTGCAATCTCTGCTTTGTACGCGTCATGAAAGCGTTTTTGAAATAAAGACATACGAAATCCAAACGGAAACTTGCCGATAAATTTTTCTTTTTTCTTTTCGCATAAGCATGCATGGGCACGAAAGAGTGAGAGAGCGGGACCGAGAGAGTGAGAACGAGAACTGATTAAATCGGAGCTGTGGTTGGCACTTAAAATTATCGTAAGTAACGAGTTCCGACTAAAAGAAGATTGCAAAAAGCATTAAGTGCATAGCGTAACAAGTGAATTTACTTTTGTAACTATAACTAATGGTGCCTTTTCGTTTCGACGTCGTCGTCGTTACTGTTGCTGTGTCTGTTGCTAGCTGGTGCCGTATTTAGTTTTTATTTCATTTTTTTTCTGCTCTCCTCTCAGTTTCTCCTCGGTTTGTTCTGTGTATGAGCATTTCCAAATGTGGAAAACTGAAAAAAATGTTGCAGTGTCGTGCCGCGACTGCCTTGCCTTCCAACATCCATCGCGCGCGCACACACAACGGCCAGCTGCTTCAACTAATGTTCAATTACTCGCAAATTGATTTGTAGTTCGCATAATGGCAGTGCATTTTTCTCATTCTGCACAATATTTTGGTGCACACACTGTGTGCCCAAACCAGAGAGACAGACAGACAGATAGAGGCAGATAGAACGCATGCAGCAAATAAAATATAATTATAATTCTATGGCTACCGCTAATGCAGTCGCAAAATTAAATCAATAACAAAAATGTGTGTAATGAAAATAGAATTTAAAGTTACGTTTCATTTTATATTACTATCATCATTATCATCATCATCGATGCAATGCGTAATTTTAAATGTGCGCGCGGTAAAAAAGAAGCCGGTTTCTTTATTATACATTAGCATTAAACTCTTTTTTTTCGTTCAGTTTCAGTATCCAGTATAGAATATTTGTGAGTTGATTGCTGTGGCCGTTGATCGAATATGCGAGTTCTCATCGTGAAATCGAAAATCGATAATGCATTCCATACATAAATATTAATATAACGAACCTTTGGACCATTTTGCATGCTCAGACCCGATCGTTAAGTAAACACATTTTGAGCTTTGCGATATTTTATTATTATTATTTGTTGTTTCGCTTTCTTTAATTTTGCGTTGCGCGCGATCAAGCTAAAATGAAACACTTAGCTTCGTTTGAAGTTGAACGAAAAAAAATAGTGAAGAGAGAGAGAGAGAGAACGAAAAAAACAGCAACCTCATCACAAAAAGCAATGTTATTTAATATTTGCATTAAAGTGCACATAAATTCTCATGCTGAGAGTGCATTCCATTCAGCGGAATGCAACGTCGATGGTTTCGTTCGGTACAGTACAAAGGTAGGAAAATTGCTGAACGCCGCATATTTTTTTCTCTCTTCTGCTGCTTCTTCTTCTTCTTCATAATGCCTTCTATCTCTGTCTTCAAATTGCTCTATCGATATATTACCCAAGTAATGGACAATAATTTCTCTCTATGCCTTTGTTTAGCTTGCTTTTTCTTAGAAAACACATTTTGGCTTGGGCATTTTTCTTCTTTTTGATTTGTGCAACGGATAAATGAACCCATTCAAGTGAACACACATGAGTGTGTTTTTTTTTCTTCTTCTTTGTCGTCGTCTTTTGCTCTGGCTCGTTAGCAGTGCTCTCTCGTTTGTCGAGCCAAAACGATGATCACATGTTTGAAATATTACGTACTGAAATGACACAATTGGCTATTGCAAGTGAATTGACCCGTTCACATTATTTGCTCATACACACAGTGTCTCTCTCGTACACAATTACACATACACACGCACACACACACACACACACACCGAACAGTACAAGTCCCATATGTTCGCGGAATTTATTCGCCAATATATTACCGCACGAGTAGTTTGGTTTTTTCTCCTTCTTATTTTCATTCCTAGTTTTTTCGTTGTTCGTCGTGTCTTTCTCTCCCTCCCTCCCGTAGTATTTCTTTCTTATTTTTTGTGTCGTTTGTCGTGTCTTTCTCTCGCACACGTTCAAAGCAATTTCAACGTCGATTCATTTCGATTTTTAATAGAAAAATGCACTCGATTCACTTGAACCGCAGTCTCGCGCTGCATTCCCAAAGGCAGGAGCAAGAGAGCGGCCCGCACGGCAAGGAGAATGAAAGAAAAGGCTTGTTGTTTATTATTAGATAAATGAGATGTTTTGAATTGGAAGGCCGTTCATTCACATCGAGCATGATTAAAATCTCTCATCGAACTGCGACACACAACGACACAAACGCGACGGCAACGGCAACGGCAACGGGCTACTGAGTGCAATGCACAGTCATACACAAATAGTATACTATTTATTTAGATAGAGTTCAATAGATTCGCTTGATTCGCATTCATTGTGTGCAATGGTGCATTTCGCATTTCGTATATTTATATTTGGTATTTGGTTTATGCTGTTTGAACAATTTAATTTTACATAATTCTTGGCTCGAGCTCAGACAGTTCGACAGATTGTTGTTGCTGCTGTTTTTTCTTTCTCGTCTATTTTATATACGCGCGGACACATTTTACACACAATTGGATGCGTTTTCCTTTATAAATTCACATGTTTCACCCAGAACCAGAGAAAAAAAACAATAACCATTACAACACTTATGTTTTATAATGAGATTTGAATCATTAAAATTAATAGATTACATTGTAGTTGTTGTTATAGGACGTTTTAAAATCAACAAAAGCTGCAATAAACATGATTATACGAGCTCTTATCGCAATTAATTTGCATTTGTTGTAAAATAGATGACGAAGAAAAACAACACACGCAGAGCGAGACAACGACGACGACAACAGCAGCAGCAGCGGTAACGACGACAAAAACCTTAATAATAAGAATTGTTATTCACTTGATTTGCAAAGAAAATTCAATTGAGAGATATTTTCAAGGGAAGCATTAAACTGCCATAATCATATTGCTACTTGCATAAATTCGAATTAAACAAGAGCAAACATTGTGTGTAGAAGAGACCTTTATGTAATTTTCAAGTTTGAGAGAAAAAAAATTAATAACAAATTGACAATCTGAATGACTGATTTTTTTCTTTCTGCTTTGACTAAGGCATTTTGTGAAAAGAGCCGTTTCATATCAAATTGCAATGTGGCTAAAAATAGAATATTTCTTGCCTTGACTGCAACCAAAGAAGAGAGAAGCACATGCACGGCGGAACGTTTAAGCGAGCGTATTGTGTGTGTATGTGTTTTTGTTGTAAACATTGCGCAATCGGAACTCAATGCACACATCTTACACGTTCATCAAGAAAGTAACAAACGTGTTGCATTCAAAGACTGAAAAATCCTCTGTTGTGCGCTTCATTTGGTGAGTTTTTTGGTTTGAAAATGGCTGTGCCGTGTGTGAACAAGCACGTCGTTGCATGGCATGTTATGTGTGGTGCGCGAACAATAGGCGAACAAAAGCCAAAATGAAAAAAGAGGGAAACGACAAAGGAAAAGAGTGAAAGAGAGAGAGAATCAAAAACAACGACAAAATAGCTCAACACACAGCTGCTGCTCTGGTTGCAGTTGTGTTATTTCATTGTGTTGTTTCTGCGCGTTGCTCATGTGAAGCCTTCGAAGGCTGCATCGTACAACCGAAAAAACCACGTGGTTTTTTTCTTCTTCTTCGTTTCGTTGCTTTGCGCTTAAAACGAAGCCAAATATAAATCCATATGTTCGTGATGCTCCAATTAATACCTCGTATTTAAAAAGATTTGTTTGTTTTTATCTCTGTCAAGTAAAGACGCATTAGTGGGATGAACATTTTAGATGGAGTCTGTATGTAGCGCACATTAGAGAGTGTCTGACATCGCGAATTCTGTAGCTCGTCATCGTCATCATCATTATCAACATTCTAAATTCAGATTCTATTCGCTGGTGGTGAACCACGTGCTTCAAGCGCATAATATTCAGCAATTCAATATGCTTACACACATACACAGCGTATTAATTTGTGGCAGCTCGCGTAAGTCTGATTTTGATGCAAAACACCAGCTAACAAGTGACGTGATCTAATAGCTGTGCCAAAGTGAATGGCAAACAACTCATTGGAATTTTCTCCGGTGCAATTTCAAATAATTTGCTTTCGTATATAGTTTTTCGTCGACTTATTTGGTCATAAAATTGTGGTATTTGCATAAAAGTTACGCTCGGTGTCAAGCACCTACTAATTATACATTTTGTTGTCACACCATAAAACGACGTGTGTATATGTGCTTGCGAATGCCAAAGCGCACCAGCCGGCCGCACATTCCACGCATACAATATTTTAACAACTGGATTCTATTGGCTGGAAAGAATGTTTTGAACAACAACAACGGCATATTGTTCCATTCTCTCTCTCTATCTCTCTCGATCACTGTCTATATCTCATGTGCATTACCATTTTAGTATGCAATAAAAAGCGTGTTTTCACAAAAGAGTTGATGGCTTTTGCACCGGGACACATTCCTGAACGGTTTCAAATGCCACACGTCTATATCGTCTTCGCTCTGTGGCGAGGCTGACAGAGTATCATTATGTGAGATAATGCTCTTTCCCCGAAAACGTATCGATAGCGAACGATAGAGAGAGAGAGAGAGAGAGAGAGAGAGAGAGAGAGAGAGAAAGAAAAGAAATGTGTGTTTTGTTTTGACGCTTCAACGAACATCGTGTGTGCATGTGTTTGGATCAAAAAGATTGGCTTTCGAATGGGTTTCATTGTTGCCGCTAGTGTTTAGCAGCTTTTGAACTTATGCTAATTGGATACTAAACGGTAAACAAAGAGCATCAGTAAAAACCAAATACCAAAAGTGTTTACGAAGTATGCTCATTTTATGTGCGGTGTGTGTGTGTGTACCTGTGTGATCGATGCCATTTTCAAGTTCCGTCAACACAAAGGGAATTTGACGACCGCATTGCAAAAACTTATGAATGATGCTGGACGTGCACATCAAACAAGATGCAAAACAACAACGAAATACGATGATGTTTCGACATGGCTTTTGAAATACTTTTTGAAAATTCACTTTGATCTACCGCTCGAAAGCAATGAGTTAAAGAAACGATTGATTCTCAACCAACCAACTGACCGACCGACCAAACAAAACAAAATAAATATGTATGAAGATAAATGAACGGAAGATTTCATATGATAACAATAACAGCAACGATGAGAAAGACACGCAAATAAAAGTGCTGTGCTGTCAAAAACTACTGCGCATTTTATTTGGCCACAAATTTTTGGTGACATTCTAAAACCTAGGCAGAAAAAAAACTTGAATATCATACAATAAATTTGTGTGTGTCATGCAGGCAAGTGGATGCGCGAGCGCCCGTACACACATAGAGAGATATTGATAGAGCAATAGGTGTCGGAAATGGCATGTTGGTGGCCAAAACGTCGTATATGTATGTGCAAACAAATAATTTAACGACAAAAACAAACGTCGTTATGGGCAAACGCATACAGCGTTAATAAAATCTAACAGATTGTTCACATGAAAATGGTGGCATTCGAGAGTGGCCGTTGTTGTTGCCGCCGCCGATATAGTAAATCGCAAATTAATATGACACAAATAACGAAATGCTTATGCTTTCGGGTCGGTGCACGCTTATGTGTGCTTTTATCCGTACATTACAATCCAAATATTTTCCACCATTGTAATTAAATACGGTTCATTTTCCGTTTAAGTTCAACCATTCGCGCTTGGTCGCACGACAAACGGTATGCTGTTGCCCTGCCAGCGCGCGAATAAGTTCGATGAGCATAGGCAATAGGCATACACATGAGTTCTACTGGGCTGCATATATATTTTACACACTATGGGTACGCGCGCTCTTTCTCTTTCTATCGGCCGCTTTTTTCATCTCGATGCGCGCTGTTCTCGTTATCGCTCATTCACTCACTTTGCACTTTGTTAACATTCGATCGAGCGAAATTCGATTCACACATGCAAACACACAGTGAAATAAATATTTGATACTGATTATATATTGCTTAAATGTTAGGCGCGCAAAGCCGTAAAATGTCGGTGTAGTACTCGCTATGTGTGTATATGTGTCTGTATGTGCACTATGTGTCTTAACTGTTGCGCGTCGATCGATTGATGCTGTGTGTGCGGCCTTTGCAATAGCAATAGGTAAACCTTGTAAACAATTTATTGCGCCGTTAGCTATTTGAATTACATAATGAGTCAAGTGAGGCGATTTCTTATTCATGCGATTTCAAGTGGATTGACTTGAGTTTTTTTTTTTGCTCGCCTGTTCGTTGCTTCTTTCTTCTTCGTTCTTTTCTCATGCAATTCTAATGAGAGACCCGTTTGAACAAAGCACAAAACACATTCGTGCTGCTGCCGATTTATTTTGCATTCCTTAAATCCATTCATTATCAACATAGTTATTTTGAAAATAGCCCGTTTTAGTTTTCCTAGGATGCTAATATTTACAATACAACAAAACAAAAAAAGAGCTGCGTCATTCCACTCTGATAATAATACATTGAAAGATGCGAAATACATTTTGATAATAACACTTTGTCAACGGTTGATTATCATTCGTTTGCCTTCTATGTACACAATCAATTACTGTCTGAATCTTTCGCTCTCTCCCTCTATCGTTCTTTATTTGCGCGCAAACACAATACAACCGACTTCTTGGTTGCTCCCCACCTCTTGCGGCGCACACCCGATCCATTCACACAATTCGGGGATTTTTTATCTGCGCAGTTTGAATGTTGTTTTTCAACAAATTTCATCTAGGTGTATTTTTAGAATGCTCACCAGAATCATTATCATTATTATTCAAACAATCAGAAACTTGTACATCACGTTTTTGTGATCGTTGCTGCTGCTGCTGTTACAGCGCCAATATTTGTTTACATTTTGCGTTGCATTCTCGAAATTGGTTTTCGTGTGACGTCGCGTATTGTATTGTGTTGAATGCCATTGCTCATTTTTCAGCGGTGCGCGATTCTCCAGAGGCAAAATGTCGTTGAATGAATAGAAGAATAAAAAATGATTCACTCGAACATTCAGTAAATAGCACTGCTGCCGTCAGTAGAAGCGAGATAGAGAGAGAGAGTGAGAGGGTGATGTAAAAGTTTGCGGAAGAATGACGGATGTGTGAATGAATTCAAGTCTTCAGAATCCAATCCAATCAATCGACTCTTCGAAAAGGAATGTGATGATCAGAGTACAACGTCCGCCCCCCTGCTGCAATCAAACAATGGCGCACCGTTAATAGAATGGCCGAAATGATGCGAATTGATAAAAATAGCCCATTATTTGCGATCGCAATTAAATCAGAGATAATGCCATAGAAATAGAAACAAAAAAACGAACACGTTGTTGAATTTTATATTGAATTTGCTAGTACTAATTGATTTTATTGCGCCGCTTTCATTTTATCTCTGAATCGAAATAACATTTTAATCTATCAAACAATGAACGCAGCACAAAAACAAATGTCCGTCGAATCCAGCACGAACAGGTCGAGCACACAGAGAAAATGAACATCATGTTGTATGGCATACAGCAAACAACAACACGATTACTACACCAACCGACATTCTGTAATAATAATAATACATTTTTCTCATATATTTTTTTTTTATTCTGAAAGCTGCTGCTTTTCTGTTCGTTGAATAAATCAAAAAACATCTGATTGTGTTTATTACACAGAGCGCGCGCGGCTCTAGAACATTTACTATACCACGGATCAGGATTGTATCGTGTGTACAGTCTCGCACATTGACGGCGGCGGTGGCGGCAACAGCAACAGCAGCAGCAGCGACGACGGCAGTGTGTTCTGTGTGTGGCAGTGCTCTCGTTCGAGTTTTTGTTGTGAATGAGTGAATGAATGAAGGCGTTTAAATTTATTATTATTATTGTTATACTATTTTATACTATTATTTTGTAGAGGAATTGAGTGAGCATTTGCTGTGGCAATGAGCAACGAGTCAGTGCACGTTCGCTCGTTCGCG